AAACAAGTGTATTAAAATAACTTGGTCATGCCCTTATTTAAGAGAAGGGTAAGCATGAAACTCAGGGACTAATCAAACAATCAATTAAATTAATTGAGCAGCTATTTGTACCTTTATGTGTTTCAAATTCATTCAGAATTTTGAGAGTACATATTATTCTGGAGTAAAAAGAACCCTGAAGCGTTTATTTTAAAAATGAGAATGTTTATGTATTAAATAAGGACAGAAGTGACAAGGAGTCTAAGCCTTTCCTCTGAAATTTGCCCTGTGTCTTCCTAGTTGTGTTTTTTTGCCTACCTCTCTAAGAAATAACAAGAATAAGAGTCCCTGCCAAATAAGAACACTGAGGAGAGGGTGCCGTCCGTGAATCAGTAACAGAAGTAAATCCAGTGAGGGTCTTGAAAGGCATAATACACAGAGCTGGCACAATGCACGATGTAGGAGGCAAGATGGCCATCTGGAAAACTACCAAATTGCGCCCAGGCCTGTGCCAAGTTGTGTTGTTGGCTTGGGACCTGCAGGGAGGGTAAGTGTCATTTTACTATCAGTGCACAGTGTTATTATACGAGCAAGCACTTGTGGTGTTTGGCGCATCTCTCTGCAGCACTGGCTTCTCCTCGAAGCCCGAGTGGAGAGCACAATTCCAGCGGAGCTGGAATCAGAACTCAAGGGGCTGCAGGAGCCCTGCAACGGCAATTTAAGATTCAGAGGAAGAAGAGAGTGGGATCTACGGTAAAGGTGGGACGGGAATGGGGCTTTTCGGTTTATTGAAATTAAACGTGTGACCCCCCAAAAAAAAAACAATAAACAAGTTTCAAATCGCCAGAAGAGTGGTCATCAGTGTTACCGGAACAATAAAATGTTTATACCCACTTTGCATTCAGATCCGACTCAGAGCAGGCTTGCAGAATGACACCTAATTCAGTGATAATGTGCAAACTAATGGCTCGCATTCTGTAAACACAAACGGCAGAAATTCAAGATGCAAACCGCTGCTTCATACCAGTCTGAAAGTATAAGCCTTTGCTATTTCCCGAGGCTTCTCATCACAAAGCAAACTAAACACGGAAAAAAAAGTGCTGGAAAACGGGGAGAGAGAGAAACATAAAAAGCTGAGGGTTTTCCTAATTGCTCGTGTCTGTGTCTGATGTGGAGATGGCTGCTGGAAAGCTATGCGTTCGAACGAGAAGCAGTTCTCTGGTTTGGGGTTGAGGAGCAGAGCTCACAGCTGGTTACAATCAAGGGCAGAGTGAGCAGCTACATTCTCAATTTAACTCCAGAAATAAAAAAAAAGAAGAAATACTGGCTTTAGTCTGCAAAGATCCTTCTTGGATCCTGTTAGTTTCCAAACACACTGCTGGTGCACCCTGAATAGGTAGCTAGGATGTGCACTTCTGGGAGCAGTGCTGATGACAGACTGCTGTACTCTGTACTTTCACAGTAAGGGGAGCTCCAGAGGTAAACATAGCCTCAGTCAGGAAGGTCTTGTATGAGAAACAGAGAAAACAGGCAAAAAGTACCGAATTTATCAGACTCAGGCCTTAAGGCGTTGTGGGTCTGTGTTATTACAGCACTTTCACCATCAGTTTTATGAAAACTGGCCCCTGAAAAATCTAATAATTGAGTGCCGGGGATGATTTTGAAACAATTTGAAACAATTCAAGTAAGAAAAAAATATCATGTCTTAATTCATCTGCCTGCACTAAGGTGAACACTCTGTCCTATATGAAACAGTGCACAGTAGGATTACCACTAATTGACAGTAACACCTAATTCTAAATTGATGAGCAAAACAGATGTTAGCTTTTACTTTTAACCAGCTGTGTTCTTTAAAATAATACTGAAAGCAGACACAACATTTAATGCGCACAAACTAAAGTTAATTTTCTAGTTTTAGAAACTTTCCTGATAATGGTGATTTAAAAGAAGAACCATAGTCACAGAACATATGGAAAAAAAACATTTAAGGCCTGATAAGCAAACTAAGTTGTTCTTTAGAAAGTCTGTCTGGAATATCCTTTGCACAAACTATGTAAAACGCAAGCTTTTTAACAGTATTCACTGCAACATATGACCCACTTATCATTAACAGATGCCGTCAAACTATTATTATCAAGTGTGATTGGTCTCTTATGGTAAAAATAATCTATTCAATTTGTTATGTTTGCTACCGGTGTCCTTTCAAATTTTCATTTGAATTCCTTTTACAGATTTGACAAAGGCTAATCTAATAATGTCAAAGGAAATACAATAATTAGAAATAAGAAGAAAGAAAATTGCTTGTGTAATCTTATGAAAAACTGTCTCAAAATTCTGAATGCACCTTGGGAAAGTATTATAGTAGGCTGATACTGTACTGTATATCTGCACACATCACAGTATGCAGAAAATAGACTTGTTGTGCAAGGAAATATCCAGCTTTAAGAAATGCAGTGGCTTTTAAAGCTAAAAAACAATGTGAATGTGTAGGCTTAGCATCTCAAAAACATAAAAAAGATATTATTAACTGAAGAGAAGCACTAAAATCACTGAAGTGCTACTCTAATGCTTTAGCACTAGCTGCAGATAAGCAATGTGCCTGTATTTGCAGCAGCTGCTGAATTTGCACACATTGTATTGTAATGAATTCTTTGTTTGGACTATGGTCATTTTACACCATTCAGCAATTATGATGAATAATAACTTTTCTGCCCGAGTCTCTGTAAACCTTTTAAATTAAAAGCTTAAGAGCACAAACCATTCACAATCAAAGTCTACGCCACTGTATAACATTAAATGTGCAGTATGGAGAAACATGGGGGCTTCAGAGTAGAACAAAATGAGCACATGATTAGTTCTCTGCCTTGTCATGTGAAGTGATGTGATCTACTTCTGTGGAAAAACAAACTGTTGAGCACGGCGGATTTCTTCAATAAGACTTTCTGGCAGGATGAAAACTTTGCTCTGAGAAAGATCCTGGATTTTTTCATATTTAGGAATCCTAATGTTTCCAGATGAGTGTAGTGAATTCATAAGCAAGCACACAATCAGGGTACAATTCCCTATATAGTGGTGCTTTCTGGCCTGTACCATCGAGTACATAGTGTGTTTCTGCAGTGCAGGAAAGAAAAGCAGGATAAGCGAACTCAAAACAGAGGTACTCCAAATCAAGTCATTGTAATAACGTATTTGTATTTCACTGGGTTGCGAGTCTCCATGTAACAAGTGAACAGCAGACAGGCCACATTCTCAAGCTAGACACAAAGACGACTGGAGGTGCTTCGCTAGAATTTAACTGTTTCACATTAATGAATTAATGTCCCAGACTATGATTCCTACTTAGTAACTGTCAGCAACTCAGAAGATTGAATGTTTATTTATTTTTCTGTAAAAAGCTGAAATCTGAGTAGAATGCAGCATGCCAGTCTAACCTAACATGAGGAATGTCTTAGAGTATGAAGATTAATTAATGTTCTTATTTAAGCCACTGCAAACACGTTTGCCTTAGAAGTGGGAACATCCCAGCTGGCTGCCCAACTTCCCACAGGATCAAGGCATATATAGCGAGCCCAGTAACCAGGATCAGAAAACATTTTTCAAAAACTCCCACTTTCCAAATGAAAATAATGCAAACAGGCAAGAATATTCCCTCCACAACCTATTTCGTTTTGGCTCCGAAACAATGTTCACATTGAAGACAAGCACAAATCCCTTCAGAAAAGTTATTTTTGAGAGATATTTGAATTTGTACATTTGCCATTTCAGCGGTGAAGGCGTTGCGTGCAAGTCAACAAGAAGCTCTGCTTATAGCACAGGAAGAAGCACTTTGCCCATTTAGAAAAACTACATGTTCATATTTTCCAATGTGTTTAGCTTTTTTTCCATTTCATACAGGAGATAAATTACTACAATATTTACAAATAACATGCATCAGAGGGACCCATACAACCTGTAAATCCCATAAAAAACAACAGAACACCCAAACCTCAAAAATGAGTAAAGTTCCCTTTAAAATTTAAAAGCAACAAGTTTCCAAGTTTCCCATTTAGACTGAAGCAAAAATGTGAACCAGTTTGAATAATGATTAACAATCTCAATAATCTCTGTCCACACAAAGCTGCCTAAATTTATAAGATGCTCAAGTCCTTGTTGGCATCTTGTTTAATGATAAAACAGTGAGTATTGTGTTTGTTCATCCTGTGTGGTTTGTATTCTAAATAACAAACAAATAAAAAAAACAAACGTACAAAAGGATAGCAACTTGGAATCACACGCAGATGGGACCACAGGGAGCAGATTCCCAGGGATGATGACACTACATACTAGAAGGCAACAGCATCACAGGAGCCTACGAGCTGATGTACAGTATGCAAGCCACTACGAAAGTATTGTGCTGTGGTGAGAAGATCACTTTTATTGGCCATATACAATTTCTACCATTAGGAATTTGTCTTTCCGCTTACCCCAGCTTGCTCTCCATGGCACACACAGGCATGGAGAGTGAAGCTTGGGGTCAGAGCGCAGGGTCAGCCATTCATACAGCGCCCCTGGAGCAGTTGGGGTTAAGGGCCTTGCACAGTGGCCCAGTGGAGTAGGATTCCTCTGCCAGCTGCGGGATTTGAACCGGCAACCTTCCAGCCACAGTGCCACTGCTGTAGTGTCCCTCAAGGTTTATTCTCATCAACCATAGGAACGGTTCTTATATGCCAGGCTTTACTTTTTCACACCATTATATGGTTCATTATATGGTTTCTTGAGCAGGATTACTATACCTGTGAAGCTATGAGCTGCTGATTCAAGACATGTCATGCTATTTCCTATATACATGGTGTAGTTGCATTATAATCATACAAAAGGCTATTTGACACAGGAGGTGCAGATTCAATGTAATGGTCCATCTCACAGACAGATGGGAAGTGGAAATGATGCCTGTATTCACCACCTTTGCAGACGCCTCTTGGGAAGGCAAGGGGCAGCAGCGAAGACGACAGCGAGGTGACAAGCTCAAAGGTGAGACTTACATAGATTTTGTTTTGCCGGTAGCGGAGGAACAGATTGTACATGATGGCCCCATCATGAAGGTCAGCCAGCCCTGCCATGTCCTCCACTCCTTCAGAACTGCTGGAGTGCATAGGCATCACCTTCTGCCGAGTGAGGGTGTTCTGCTTGTAGGTGTAGACCTGGAATTAAAGAACAAAAAACGACGGTCAACAGTGAGGAACACAACTAACTTCACAGGATCCAGGAACACCCCCCTACTCTTTCCAGTGGGTTAATAAACCCAGGCTAAGAGCTCACCAAGGGCATCACCATGCTGCACAATTGCTTCTTTCCCCACAGGTCAATTCCCAACTTGCCTCACACCTAATGCCGGCATTCCATTACACGGCTTTTCCTAGGATTTTCAGTCGTACATAATCGTAAGAAAATCACAGCGAGTTGTGGAGAGTCGCATGTGCACGCCTGTTACCATCAGTTGTGTAGTGTGACAGCCCCAGCAACTCAGTCATAACGTTATTAATAGCCCCTATGACTCTCTGCGACTCCCTACGATAACATCAAAGAGACTTGCCATGAGTGAGTGGTATTCCCCTTTCATGGACCACTGTTTAATTAGAACTTAGCGCAACAAGAGAAAACTCTAGCCCCGTCTTTAGCTCAGTGTTAGCCATTTCAACCCTTTTCATTTCCACCTTGAGCGGATTCTGAAAAAGAACTGAAACAGCAATGTTCTGTGGAAAATTACTGCTCATGTCAAAAATTGTAGACCACCAACTTCGGAAAACTAAGGCAACATGACTGTCCTCTGCATCATGAGTATTTTGGGAGACAAACGATACTTACAAACCATGCTTTATAGAAGCATCACTTTTGAAAAATGGTATACCTATTTGTGGCTTGCATCAAAGCAATGGAGGGAATGTATATTATACTGTGCTTCTTGCTGGCAGAACATGACAAGAACCACCTCAAACTACACCCTCGGGCCCCAGGAAAAGTGCTGAACCACTGGGAATTGTGTTAAAGTAAAGGCAAAAGAAAGCACATCTGGAGCAGACTGCCCAGCGTCAGGATGCCTTGTGACAGTTCCACACTGCCAAGCTAGGAAATTCAACATCCCTTCAGGGCTAGAAAATCTAAAACAACAGAAACAAACTGTGAAACAATTATAAAAAATAATAACACTCCCCCTCCTTCGAAATCTGTTATTTAAGGTATGTGCCATCGTTCTAAAAATCTTTAAAAAGTCCACGGTATATAAGATTACCCACAAATTAATTATTTTGATTCTAGACTGAAGGAAAATCCACATCTTACATACATACAGGTAGGAATGCATGAGCAACTTTCAAATCTACAGTAAACATGTACTTGCTGAAATGACAGCAGGGTGAACTTCATATAAAGCAAACTACTATGACTATGAAATTGCCCGTCATGCCAGTCAAATATAAGAAAAGTCTTGCAGGAAACCCATTTATGGCTTTCTTCTCCAAATAAAAATACGTTCTTATATAATGTACTAATTGTATTGAGGAAATTAAGGGAATTTAAGATGGATCTATTAAATGCCAAGTTGAAAGAAGTGTGATCACGCACACTGTTACAAGATGTTCATGCTCATGTTTTTTCTGACGTCATTTCAGAATTTCCCATTTTCCGATCTTCCATAAAGACTACCCCCCAAAAAAGTTTTTCAGTTAAAATTTTACACTTGCGCTTCAGATAAGAAGCATGCGTGGGCAAAAAAAAGAAACTTTCTCTTAGATCTGGAGTTGTATGCTAATATATGCTTTCTGTTGAGAATAAATGGTCAGATGTATGTCATTAAATGTTTACATAGCAATATACCAGAGCAAATAAGATCCTGTGAATGTTCAAGGCACCTAACAATTATGGTAAGGATATATGTTAAGAAAGGTTACTGTGTCTAATGGTGTCAAACATAGCCATTTGACACCATTAAAAATATAGGGACAACAGGGACAAGATAAGGGTTCACAGTTCCAGGCTTTGGAATGCAACGGTCTTGGAATGTGACTCAACTGTCAGTGGGCCTCTATGTAAATGTGATTTAGTAATTCACTTTTAAAGGGATACTAAAACCCACAAAGAAAATGTAAAACAGACATCACACTATCACTGTTCAGAAGGGAGGTTTATCCAAACAGTATTGTCAGAATTATGTTTCTTGGTATACTTTAGCTTAAAATAGATTTCCTCAGATTCATGAGTTTTCTGTTTCTTTTCCCATCTTCCTCAAACAAACAGATACAAACTGTACTGCATGTTTTAGATGAGGCAGATAACAATTTTCTTTATTGAGAAAGCTGGGAAATGCTTTATAATATAAAACCTTTCTAAAAATGTTTACTCATTATGTCTGCTTTTTGGTTTGTTTAGACTATTAAAGAATCAACCTTAACATGCAAAGAAAGTTTCAGATAATGGAAGGTCAATAACATTTCTCTTTTTCTGCAAAATGACAAAAAACAGATCAATCTTTTTTTTTAATGATCTGTGTTTTTGAAAACGCTGCTTAAAACAAATCACACTACTTGGAAATTAAATAAAACAATCTATGTTTAACTTAAATACATTCAAGTCATTTAAATTGTTGGTCCTTTTCTCTTCCACACTACACTTGGCAACACATTTAATGTTAGCCCCAGCAACAAAAATGTGTACCAAGCGGTATTTGCAATTTACGTCAACAGACTGCATTTCCTCTTTAAAATACACAGATAAGCAGTGCTGATCATAATTAAACCAACAAAATCTAAATTGCATGTTTACATAAAGCACACAACTGTACAACATGGATATATTAAGATCTTAACAACTGTAAACCTCTTCACTTCAACATATGTAGATTCAAACACAATTTATATCTGCAGATTTATAGCAGAGGCCTTAATAATCTTCCTTTGCTCAGTTAAAGATGAACGTTTAGCAGGAATTGGTAAATGTAAATTCCTACTGAAGTACAGAAGTCAGCCTGCTTTAAAAGTGCAAGTTTTACAAGAAGAACATATAACAATTCATTACTTAAACAGATTAAATCAATACTTTACCTATTGTACAGTATAGGTTTAGATAAACTAGCCTGCAACCTTGGCCCAATAGGTTCTTAAACTGACTGTTAACTATTAACCAGCTGGTTATTCACTTATGGGACAAGGTTAGCAAGAAGCAGATCTAAATGCAGCTAAACAAATAAAACGATTTCCATGTTGCTGCAATTTAAAGAAAAAAAAATTATCATTACAAAAGTGGCAGTGCTTTGATCTCGGTTTCTGAGATCAAAGCCTTTTCTGGTGTTCCTTCCAACTTCCTACTGACTTATTGTAACTGCAACTGAGGTAAAACTAAATGTTTTCTTCAACATAAGCACATTAGAAAGGTTACATATGAGAAGGAACCATTTGGCCCAAATTAGCGTGACTGGTAGAAGTATATTGATCCAAGCATCATACCCAGCCATTTCTGGAAAGACCTCACCTGGCTATTAGCTTTAATTATATGGCTTGGTAGCTTGATCCAAACCTGAGGTGCATGAGAACCTACTCTTCTCATTTTTTATAAATCTGGTATGTGCCTTCCCAGGTGTCATGGTAAAATATGTCTGTCCACTGCTTTGGAGGACTAATAATGATTTCACCAACAACAAACTCTTTTCTGTAGTACAATAAAGTTATAATAGAATTGTACGTTATTAACGTCAAACTCAAAATACATTAAACACCTCTCTTATCTACAAAAAACAAAATAATGCATAGGCTGCCGAGCACAAATATCAAATCTGAACTGCATTCAAGAACTCTTCTCCACAATAAAAAAAGTGTTCTCCTTTAGTACAAGCAGGTGCAAATCAATGAGCTTATCGACCAACAAGGAGAGAATCGCATGGACCGAAGGGAGGCTCAGAATGATGTGGTACTCTTGGAATTCCTAGCTGTGTTGTGCAGGACAGTTACAGGGTTCCTGTGATGCCTGCCCCCTAGTTTTGTCCCTTGTGAAGTGCCACTAGATTCTAAGTATTTTGTATAAGTTTTGTATAGGTAAAATTAAGGCCCTTATCAACAAAACGAATGGCAGCATTCAGCTGCACGTTTCATGCACGCGTAAATAATTGAATGTACTGTATAGACCACAAAACTCTGATGTGTGCCAACCACAAAGAGTGCTTTTAAATAGCTTTCAGTCTTCAGGTTATTTGAACCTTTTAGAACTATGGCATCTTTAGAACCGTGAATGCAGTAATCTCTATAATTTTCTTCTTTTTTTTCCAACTTTGGTTTCTGTTTGTAGGATTTATCACATAGATGTTTGCATCATGTGTTGGGATACTGGGCTCCTTAAAAAAAACGATTCATTTTCAGTTTCAAACATTTTTATGCCCCGAGTATAAAGCTAACCACAGTCCCTACATCAGCCATCGCAACTCGCATGAATCAGATGTAAGAGAATTTACAAGCAGATAAAAAAGTGCTTAGCAGGATAGAAACCAACCCCGACGGACTTCCAGATTCTTACTGAGGAAGTCCTTTGTTGCAGAGACCTCCTCGTGAACCAAAAGGGGGGGGCATTTAACATATCTAATCTCTCAAGGAGCTGCTGCAGATCCCACTGGCAGACTGCGATTTGAAAAGTCCTACAACTGAAAGTTGCAGTGACATTTCGCACTGGCCTCCAATGAAAGATTATTACTGTTAAGAACGTCCCGCTTCATGCTGACCCTCTGACAACCACTTTTTTTCCCCCTGCTCGGACTCATTCTTCGCATTCCAACACATGCTTCCCATATCCTGTTGACAAAAAAAAAATCTCCACTTTGTCTCGCACAGGGGGTATATTTATTCACACTAACTTTGAAAGTGTCCAAACACTGTGCGGCAAGAGGGTGCTACATGTTGCAAGAAATGTGCTCCGGTTTCATAAATAAGGCCACAGTCTTATGAAATTAAGGCCACATGCCATTTCATTACAATACGAGACAGCTGCACCACAATTTGGAAAAGAAACAACACAAACCCATAGTTTTATTAGGCTGATTTTTTCACAGATTCTTCTGTTGTCGCTAGACTACATATCAATTCATAGCTGCATAGCTGCTTGATGTTTTTGAGGGGATACTGTAAAACTGAACTAAACAGACTGAAGAGTAAGATGTAAAAAT